TGAGCTGAGCTGTGCCAAAGGTAATWTATAGGATCTGTACTTTCTGTTCTTGAGAAGGGTACAATGAGTATATAATTGGTTCCAGATTCTCCTTTTATCTTTATTCACACAGCACAGTTATATCATCTAGGGCTTTTTGGCCCATGTTTTACCTCCAGTGAGCTCATCTGGAAAAAGGGATTGTGGAACTCAGGAGCCTGTAACGGGTTGTGAACAATACTTTATTATCCTCTTTCAAATATAAATTCATYGACTGGAGCTTCAAGCTGGTTACTCTTAGTGGAAAGTTTGCTGTCAGGATCATCAAAAGTCTTACCGTTGGCCTAAGAAGACAAATTGTCACTTGAGATAYATTTAGGACCATTAGTAAAGACTTTGGGGATCCAAATTACTTTGGTTATATTTGCCTTAGTAGAAGGATTTACTATCTTTGCTCCAGTTCACTAGCTGCATTCCACAGGCAACATGAAGTCAGGGCCACAACAAAGGACTCGATATCTGCCTAGAATTTAAGCAAAACACTTCAAACTGGTAGGAGTGTCCTTTAATGAAAACACTGTTTGAAGGTCTGAGGTTCAGATACAAAGTATTTTGTTTGGTGAATATTTCAAAGTCAGATATTTCTCTAAAAAAAAGCAAAGAAATGCCACAGAATTCTCCAAATCTACCACAGCAAAAAAATGTTGAAAAGCCAGCAAGAATAAAAAACAACTCAGAAAGCAAAGTTTTCATATCCTAGCAAAAGCCAGGTCATTATGGAAAGAGATGATTTTCCAGGAGCCRTGGTTAATAGGTAAACATAAATTAATTTTTCTATTCTTAGCTTTGAAGCGATTTCATGGTTCTTCAGAGTATCGAAGGGAGATGGAAGACATCCAGCGGGAATGTTTTGCCTTAGATGGGGAGAAACCCAAGAAGCCCTGGCAATTATTCACTGACCGTGGTGTGAGATGGCAGCTCATCACTGTCATTGTGATGACAATGGGCCAACAGCTCAGTGGGATTAATGCTGTAAGATTTCATACAAACAAAGACCTTAAATGATTATTTAATTTCTACCTGTTTTTCAACCGTTTATTAACACCAAGAATCCACATAGAGAAGCTCAGAGAAATGGGATAAGTGGGAAGGAATGTCTTTGCATTATTTTGGCGTTTCTCATTTTTAAAACTTTTTCTCATTTCTATGTTTCTGGTGTGAAAACTTTTTTAAGGAATGACTTGATACTTGTCTTTACATTCTTCTGAAAAAGTAAATAAAGGTGGATCAGMCTATCCCAGTGTGTCTGGTTTAAGAATATAAAGCATATTCAGTAAGTTGAATAATCTTATTTGCTTTTATGATAGCAATATGTTTACTTAGACATGAATTTAACAGATTGTTATTGCTGCTTACRTTGAATTAGTAACTCACAATATAAAATATACTGATCTGTAAGTTTAGTATGAACATGATTTTGTTCCCAGACAATGTTTTCAGTATCAGAAAAACCTCATTGTTTGTTTTGGGGGTTTTTATCTGTTGTAGATTTATTTCTATGCAACTTACGTTTTTGAACAAGCTGGGATCTTGGCAGAAAAAATACCCTATGTGACACTCGGCACTGGAGTTTGTGAATGTCTCACAGCCCTCTCCTGTGTAAGGAGCTATTTTTCTACCTCCCAGTACAAAGAGTAATGATTCTTCTTGAARAATATTGGTAAAAATGAGATSARTATATTAACAGAAGATTATATCTTRTCCACAGGGTTTACTGATAGACTCTGTGGGAAGAAGATACCTTATCATTGGGGGTTATCTCCTGATGACGCTCTGGTGCACTGTTCTCACCTTCTCTCTGACTTACCAGGTGCAAAGGACTTGTTCCTGTTACATGATATGACAAAGGAGTGAAAAGGGCACGTAGTGACGTGATAAGGGGGAATGAGTTTAAACTGAGAGCAGGGTTAGATTAGGTATCAGGGAGAAATTCTTCTCTGTGAGGGTGAGGAGGCCCTGGCACAATCCCAGAGATGCTGTGGCTGCCCCATCCCTGAAGTGTTYGGGGCYAGGTTGGATAGGGCTTGGARCAACCTGGGATAGTGGGAGGTGTCCCTGCMCATGGCCAGGGGTGGAATGAGATGAGCTTTAAAGTCCCTTCCAACGCAGATCACACTACAGTGATGTAATTCTATGATACAATTTAGTAAAAATTATTGAATTAATATTATTTAATTTCTCTGAAGCAGTATTGCTAAACACATTAGCTGTAAAACAGTCATGAAACCCTGCTGGTGTTAGTTGCAATAAAATAGCGAAAGGAAACATAACTGTTAAACCAGACTTTAAAACCATTTAATCAAAATCTGAACTAAAGCTTCTCATTGTCTTTTGTTTCAGGAGCTGTACTCCTGGTTGCCTTACCTGAGCATGACGTGTGTATTTGCCTTCATCTTGAGCTTTGGGTTGGGACCAGGTATTGAACAGGAATGTGTGTGTGAGTGGTGGAAGGTCTGGGAGGGCTGGAAGGAAGCCTTTGCAGCACAGCTGTGCTGCCCTGGCTGAGGAAACCAAGAGAGGCCACAACTTACCATGCACACTTCTGGGGCARCTACATGTGAAGGGAGGCTYAGTTCTGGCCTTCAGAGCAGAGGARTTGTACACTGGTCAGGAGGGGCCTGCTCCCTGATCGGTGCTGCTGAAATGGGGCTCTTTTTGTGGGACACTGTGCAAAGGCAGTAACCTCAGAATTGTGCTGTTAGGAATTATGATAGATCAGACATATTCAAAAGCAAGTCAATCTTTTCAAACATTAGAAATACTTCAATTGGACATTCAGCACAATTCTCTGTTTCATTTCTGAACCATCCCCAGGTGGCATAACAAACACCCTGACAGCTGAGTTATTTGTACAGTCCTCACGTCCTGCTGCTTCCATGATCGCAGGGACTGTCAGTTGGATTAGTTTCTTCACAATTGGAATGCTCTTTCCCTTCATAGTGGTAAGTATGCACAGCACAATTTCCTAAGGGTCTCAGCAGCCATTTCATCTGGTCCTAGGTTCCATCCCATTGCTTATGTTCTATTATATACACTTGTGTTATTGACACTTGACCAGGATGCACATTGCCCCTCAAATGAGTTTAACTACATTACATCCCTCTTAAAATGTTTTTTAGACATCTCAAAACCCAATGTAACATGACAAATGAAGTTAAAAGGAATGCACTGTGGGGCAGTGTTAATGTTCAGATGAAAAAAACAGAGAAGGTATCAAAACCAGAACAACTTGATCAGATACTGGGATTTAGATAAAACATTTCTTTATAGTGCCTTGTGCTCTTACGGCACAGTGAAGTTGAGGCTGTGGCCAGTGGGGCACACCTCTGAGAACTTCCTGAACTGACAGAGAGTTCTGTGAACAGTTTATTAGGAAAGGCAAGACAGGCTTTCATCTCCAGCTTTGTATTTTCAGTTTTAACAAATATTCTTACAGCAAAACCTACAAGAACAGCATACATCAGGTTATCTGGATCTGCCTGTCCTTTCTTCATGGTTCACCTCTGCTTCTCAGTAAGACAGTTCTTTTCAATGTATAGCATTGGAAAATATTAACATTCAGGAAAACCTAAATTATATAATCTTAAAATAAGTGACAGCCAAGTAGCAAATGTTGACTTTTCCCTAGATTGTGAATTTTTTAGTGTTTAAATGGCTTATCTTATTTTTAAAAGTCTACCCAAWAATTGCACAGCATTTGACAGTCTTCTATCTAAAAAAGAAAAAATTAAAAAGTTACAGGTAAAGAATAAGTTGAATGACTCTTTTTAAAACACATCTGAACAGCAATGTTAAATATGAATGGAAAAAAAGCTTATTTTCTCAAACCTATTATTACACTTAAAATATGTTGCAATCACATTTATTTTCAGAATGGACTGAAGCAGTATTGTTTTGTGGTGTTCTTACTGGAGTGCTTCTTTGTTGCTGCCTTCATCTTCCTCATAATTCCTGAGACAAAGAACAAATCTTTTCTGGAAATCAAAAAGGAATTTCACAAGCTTAATTTTGGAAGAAATGCCAGAAAAAAGGAAACGGAGCTTTATGAAAGAAGACAACTTCAGGATGAGTTTTTAAAGATTTCTGCATAATTTCACAAATGTAACAGAACTTCAGTGAGAATTATGAACATAATCTTCTAAATTAGGAGTGTAATACATGATCAAGTGGCTTATTAAATCTCCTGTGTATTTAGAAGTGTATCTAAAGGCAAGTTAATGAAATGCTTTTAAAGCATGTATTGCTGAAATAGTATTAACAACATATTRTATTATCCATAGACTTGATATTTAGCTGTAACCTGGTGCTGTACGGATGCAGAAATGCCAGGGAGGARGTTCAGTGAACCCCTCTGGCAGATTCCTGCAGGTAACTCAGTGACTCTTTTTGCATTTCAAAGACCTGTCTTCAGTTTGGGTCATCGTGGGGTGCATCCAAATTCTGAGTTCTTGTTAAAACCCACACAAGAACTGCCCTACCAAGAACTGATATTTGAAATATTTCAGTTTATGTAGAAATGGGAGTATTTAGTTTCTGTTTTTCAAATAAGTAACTTTAAAAGCCTTAAAGACATTCCTCATCCAGTCCAACTTCTGTACTGTACGACAACAGTTCATCACCTCTCAGAATTACTGGTATTTGTAATAAAGACTTGTATCCTGATAAAAGAGTCCCTGGGGTTTCAATTTGGGTTTATTTCTTTCCCTAACCTAGCATCTTAACATTTTAACTATGCAATAGTAAAACTTTTTCTAGTTTTGACAGTTAATTCCAATCAGACTAAGATCTACATATCAAAAAGCATGAAGTAGCAGAGAGCACAGAGGACAGGACTTAAATATTTTTTACCTTTAAAAGAATTTTCAAGTTGATCTGAGAGAACACAGACAAGAAGACTGCAGCAAGCCTGTAGGACATACTGAATAAGCCYTCTGCCCCATCTCCAGCATTTTTTCCTGGACCCTTTCTCAACTTAAAATAATTTTTTTGTAATTTAGGCAGTAAGAAATCTCACATCTGGTGTTTGTGTGCCTCTCTGATACTTGTTTCCATACCTGTGGCTGCCAGGACAGTGGCCCACTTCACCCACTATAACTTTCCCCAGTTCTAAGCATTTCAAATGCCATCTGTTAATGAAGTGCTGCAGCAAGCGCTACATTTCTTTTACATTTATCTTTCTCCTCTCAGAATTAAAGCTTTTAATGGCAGTGTAGGAAACAAACACCACTGGTMTGATTTTGATAACTAAACCATTTGTTTAATTGAAAATAACACGGACTCTTAATAGCAAATAAGGCAACATCAKGAAGGGATCTTCTTGGCCTTTAGTTTATCCTCTAAGTTTGCAAAATACTTCATTTTTGCTAGAAGCTTCTTAGCTTCTTGAAGATCATCTGAAATGAAATAAAACATTACTAGTTTACAGAGGGAGAGCTGAATTTGCATTTTCAAAATGAATCTCAAAATTTCCACAACAGCACCTTTTTCAGTACTTACAGCTGTGAGCTGCAAGGACTCAGACACTATTAAAAYCATGTTGCCTATTGTTTTAATCTCAGATGGTTTGGGAACACCTCAACTCAAATGTTCCATAAAACATGTAACAATGAACACTTTGGAAAAGAAATGTGAATGAATATCCTTTAACAACTTCTGTAAAGTGGCTGCTGTATTGATGTACCCCCCACTAGGCAAGACAAATGGTTTTTTTTGTTTTAAATATGTATAAATAGACCAACTGACAACTGAAAAATGCAAATGAGGASGAGTCTGGCCTAAATAGTGCCAATTTCAAAACTGATATTGAAACAATTTCTCCTCAGTTAAACAGCTGGAGAAGGGTTCATGACCTAATGACTAACATAGATGCAACAGAGTCCTTCTCATGGCACAGAGTAACAGAATGTAACTCCTCACAGGCAGGCCCAGCCAGCACTACTCTGATGCTCACAGTAACACATATCCACCCCTGACAAAAGTGCAGCATTCCGCACCTGGCACAGAAATACAAAGGTTTCTTCCCAGSTGCAGAAGCTCAGGAATGGTTCAAGCTATCCATTGGTTATAGAATAAAGTTATATTCATTAGTGCACAGAAAGTCCCCAAAACCTTAGGCTGAACAGGCATCGAGACTTTACTAAGCCGGACAGCTTCTGTGGCTTTCACTGCCATGAACAGCACCCACTGCCCTACTGCAGAACAACCTCCCAGATTCAAGTGTGAAACCTCAAWATATGTCTAAGATTAAGTCAGATCTTCCCAGTATTCTGGGAAACACACAAACAATTTCTTAGCATCTACATTCCCACTTGAAGTGATTATTTAGATGCAAGATGAATGRAACTTTTGTATGGGACTTTGTTTTYAGTGTGAGGTCCTGAATTTCCCAAATCAGCAGTAATGTTTAGAAGTACTCATTCTAAACACCAAACAAAGAACCCTTGTTAATGCAATACTTCAGTTCCATACCTCAGGAAATATTTGCCAGTAAGAAAATGTGGAGCTTTAAGCATTTGACAGGTATGTATGGCAGCTAAATAGTTCAKAAAAACAGGTACCTCTTTCAAAAGCTGCAGTTACCTCTCTGGTCAGTTCTTCTTGTTTAACTGCAAAACAAATGATCTAATTTACTTTTATACCATAGCATTCTGACTGCCTGTGATGGGAAAGTGCATTATTAGTCTCAGCCTTTGGGACCCAAGCAAGTTTTCCATAATACTKATGTCTACGTTTTTTAAATTATCATTTCAAACATGTATTTCTTTGTTTAAACAGGTTTACTCAAAGCAATTCCAATGCACACCAATGGTCACTAATTTCTCAGCTATCTAACTTATTTTTGGTGTATCYGTTTACCCTGCTACAGTTAATGCTCTCCTGTGCTACTCAGTTTTTAYTCTAGTTACTCTAATTGCTTTTGGCACATGGCAGTTATTGCAAAGAATTAAATGTATCACTAAACTAAATGTTTTTGGTATCACCACCAACATAAAAAGAAAATTGCTTGTCTAAGGACCACTTAAAATAATGGCTCCTAAGGTAAAGAAGGTGGAAGAAATACAATGTCTGTATAAATGACATTATTTACTGTGATCAGACAAGCATTTTATTCAATCTTCATTCTGACAGGTTTTTTCTTTGGAACAATTAACTAGCCCTGACTTGATGAAGGTTGAGTAAATTCCTTTYATTGTCTACGTATAGTTATTTTGACATCAGAATAGGTTCTGTTATACAAATGTTCTCAAGCCACATCTGATGTTTAGGTGCACAAATGGGTAAAGACAACTTTGGAAAGGGGRGGACAGGGTGGAAGCTCTTGCAGTGAGTCAATTCCAGACTAACAAAATTGAAGACACTACAAGAAATATACCAAAACAGTTAAAAGCTTTCAGATTCTTGTATTACACAAGGTTCAGTATATTAGTTCTGTACAAATTCCTCAAATCATAACCCACCTTTAATTAAAGTTTCAATTTCTTCAAGGACATCCTCACTTTTGGGCTCTGCTAATTTCTCATTAATTTCCATGATTTCCGTAAGAAACGTGGCATCACAGTCTGTCTCTTGTGCTGGCTCCACTCCCCTCAGCTCCAGCTGGCAGAGGAAATGGGGATTTGAAAATAAATATTCTTACATCTATTTCAATGAGAAYTATTTTCTTTAATATTAAAGTCTTTTAGTGGGGCACACTTGGATTCATATCTGATAAACCTACAGTGCATGAACAGAGTCAGTCTAAAAATTAACTCCATATATAGGTTGACCATAAAAATCAGCAGCTACCCAAAGCCAAAMCATACAGAAGGCTGCCATTGGCCAGACTGAAATTCTGAATGAGCAGCCATGCCCAAACAACACGTGACATGAAAAACAAATTAGTGTAAGATGAGTAGCAAATGAGATAATAAGCTGATTAATTTTYGGACAAGCTTGGTTTTAGTCTCCAATCTCTGGAGAGCCTCTTCAGAGGAATCCAGATTAGCACATTAAGGATTCAAGGTCCGATCCCTGAAAACACCCCATGGTTATTTACAGAACACTATAATAGCTAACGGAGACCTTACTAGATAGAGGCCTCGGCTCAGAGGGCTCAGCAGGGTCTTGTAGGCCTTGTTGATCAGGGAAGAGTGTTGCTCAGAGTAGTACTGCTCTTTCTGCAAATGGATGGCAAATAACTGGCAGCTAAAAACACGTGGCAAAATACACTTTGTTACACGGCCCCACACTAGTCCGCGTGTMAAACGGCTCTACAGACCCGGGAACYGTGTCATTGCACTGAACTAAGACCTGACGAACCACAGCGGCCCCTCATCGTCCACCTCCAACTCAAATCCATGGCAGTGTCTCTTCTGAGCCCCGAAAGACAAACACAGGCGAATCCCCTCACTCCCCGAGCGGGAGAGCGGCGGGGACTCGACGCTGCGACCCCAACTTAGGGCGGGTTCCTCCGGCGGTCACCGGGTCCCGCGGRCCCCTCCCGGCCCGGCTCCCCCGCCCGGCCCGGCGCTCACCGGCGGCCTCTGGCCGAAGCGGTCAGGRTGGACAGCTTGCTGCAGGCTCCGGAACCGCCGCTGCAGCTGCTCCGCGTCGATGCGGAAGGAGCGGTCACTGCAGGACACAAGGCGGTGAGACCCGCGGCCGGCCGGGCCCGCGGCCGCCCCGCCCACACTCACCAGTCCATCAGGCGGAAGAGGTCAGGCCGCGGCGCCGGCGGCTGCAGAGCCTGGCAGGCGGGGCAGAAGCACGGCCCATCGCTGCTGGGGAGCGCAACGCCGCAGCTCCAGCAGGGAGGTCCCGGTGCGCGGCCCGGCGCGGCCTCACGGAGCGCCCGGCGCACCCAGCCCAGCTGCGCCCTCAGCGCCGCCCGCATCGCGCACCGCTCC